CTGGTTGCATGTGCCTTTTCGTGGTTTTTCTTATGTGGTACGTGGATACAAGCCAGTTTTTTTTAAAGTCCTCCATGGACCATCCCTTCCTTTCGGTGTAGTGCCTGTCCACTAGTTTCTTTCCTTGTAAACTGAAGCTCAACTTTCCAGGTTTTTAGGAGCTGTTTTTCAATCTTTTCACGACTAAGCTTTATATTGCTCGTGCTACTAAGCATTGCTTGCTTGGGCTTGACGCTTCATCTTGGTCTGTCGAATTTCCAGACTTGGCTCTCATTCAGCTCGTATGGGACATTATGATCGGTAACTGCAAACGGAACAGCAGTTAGTTAAATGTTTATAGCGTAGCAAAACATGCAGTCCCTCCCATGGCGGTTATGTTCCGTACTAAATGAATCTAAATAATTCAACTGTTGGTTTCCAATTTTTGGAAATTTGCATGCCTGTCGATCTAGTTAATTTCAAATATCTAGTATTCCTGTCGATCTTGTTAATTTCAAATATTTAGCATGCCTGTCGATTTTGTGAATTCCGTATATCTAGTGTCTTTCTTGCCTGGTATTGCAATTTAATTGTTGCTCATTGTAAGTGAAACTGTAGAGTAAATGTACAGAAAGGATGAAGGTAATTTATAATCGTATAATTTTTTTATGCAATGGGTATTATTCGAGCAATATAAAAATGTTTTTGTCATATTATTCCATACAGTAATTTTGGAAATAAAAACAAATTGCTAAACACTTCCTAAAGAGTGAATGATTCCATTTATTAGAATTTTCATTTCAGATTTTTGAAGCATAGGATATATTTTAGGCACCAAATAAAAACACTAATGAAGAGGATATGCTTAGAAAAATTATAGTTCTTAATCTGTAATTCAAGTTAAAATTATACTGTGCTTAATATAAACCATAATTAAAAATTCTCATTTTCTCAAACATCAAATTGAAATCTCAGAAATATTCACGAATTTAAGTAACATGAAAAGAATATTAAATACTTAAGTTACTCATTCTTTCATTAAAACCACTCATATCCATTAAAAAACACTTATAGCACATTTTAAGCATGTTAAATTTTTAACGAATAGCGGTATGTATGAAGATTTAAATTAGAAGCGACACGCACACGTGAAAACTAAGAAAGCTTATGATTTTACTGAAATTATGATGGTGGATATTTAATAATGGTACTTTTCCGTTTCGCCGGCGCAAATCTCGCCAAGACTTTATTGGCGACAATACACAGTATACACATAAAAAATGTTAACATATGTTAGTTCTAAGAAATTTTTATTTTGAAGGCATAAACATTTTAATATCGTTTAAAATTTTGTAAAAGACAATAAATAAAAGACAAATAATTTGTAAAGACATTAATTTAAGAATACTACGCTTCATGGTACTACAAATCCTGATTTTCCGTTCATATCACGTGACCCCAAGTGATTTCATCTCACGTAAAATACGATATAAAATCTAATTTTCTCAGTAATTATCTACATTAATTTCAGTTAAATCTTAATTCGATTACAAATTTAAATGCAAGAATTATTTCATTCGTACGAATAGCTTACTCGGGAAATTATGTGAAACCGCAGTGCTTTTACTCGCAGGCATTCTTATTAGAATTGAAGAATTTAACCCTTGACTTTGCCTTTTTTTTTTCGGGGTGAGCGGTGTGATTGCTTCCTAATTGACTTAATTACATAAGCATAAAATTGAACTATTGGTAAACTATATGTATTGTATGCCAGTATTGAAAGAAACAATCAATCTGATAAGAAATGCCTGCGACGTGTTTTGAAAATGATTCGTAAAAGGTTACTAGCGAGGAATTGAAGTTGGCATCGGTTGTACCATTTTTGGCGACTTTATTCCTTGCGCCGGCAAAATGGAAAAGTACCTTAATAATTAAAGCATATAAATGTTTCCTTTCTCCAGAATTATGGTAACCTAGAGACCACCAAAAAGATCAAAGGCCTCAATGGTAGTAAAACCGCATACTTAATTCACAATTTGCTCCATAACAGCTGGTTATATTTATAATAACTAACTTTAAACTTCTCTGAAGTCCATTTCAAACACGCTACATCATTTAAGTCTTCAACTGCAAAATAAACTATTGTATGTATAGTTAATGCGTGAGTGACAAATACTTCCCAAATTCTATAATTGCACAGAGTGAATGCTTTCTTTAGTGATATACGCGAGATATTTCGTATAAATTGGTCCAAGTAAAGATAAGTGTGTGTAGTCTCTTCAGTTTTAAAGACAAGCAGTTTAAAAGTTTTAAAGTTGAAAAATTTTAGAGGCATTATGTTGATATTTTACTACGAAATATAGTATTAAAACCTTATCCAATATAGGAAACTAACAAACATATATTCATTTTCAGTTTTCGAATTATTTATTAGCATATTTAACTTATTAAACCCAATTCACAAAATTTTAATATTGAAACTTTTTTGTTACAGCCCATGATTCTCTATGAAGAAATATCAGTTGACCTAATTTTCGGTAAAACACTTTTTGGTAGATTTAGGGACAACTACACAAATTAGCTAGCTGTCAATCAATGAAGTCCATCAGAAAAATATGTATACACTTTAACAGATAATATCTGCGAATTGGTTTAGAAGTTTAATTGAATTATCTTCACAATATGTAGTACAGTGTTGCTCAACACATGTCAGCACTCTTATGACTGTACTGTGGCGTACGACATGTGATAATGAATCAGATTCCTTGAGTTACCTTGATTGACTTCATGTAGCGAAAGTAGTGGGTTTTGTTGAAGGTTTTTAGTTCAAGACATTACAGCGGCATGTGCAGCAGTTTCCGTTGACACACTAACCAATGTTGTTCAAGCAATCGCTCACTGTTATGCTATGTGTCTGGCCGCTAATAACCACCACACACACAACACACTGAGCACATTAAGTAATTGTACAGATACACGTATAGATAGATTGTATTAAACCTAACCTATGATATGTATGAATAAACATTAACCTATAATTAAAATCGGTGCTAACACACAGTAAAAAACTTTCTTTTGTTAAATTTTGTATACAGAGTGTATCAGTACAGCATTGACAAACTTTCAGGAGAGAAAGAGTACATCTCTAGACGATGGGGAATCACCCAGGAATGCATGGTCGGAAACGCTTTCCTGGCGCGATGGTGACGGCACAAAAGTCAGGAAAGAAAGAGCACGAACGGGATGAGTAAACATGTTTACTATTCTGAGTACAACAAAAACAAAGTAAAAAACAACATAAAGAGACAACGATCATCATCAAAGAATGTGTTCGAAATTACGACCCGGACCGTGATGCAGGAACCGCGCATCATGCATCTTCCATTCGTGAGGCAGATCTTACATGCGGAGATGTGAGGCTTGCATCACGGTCCGGGGTCATAATTTCGAACACCTTAATGACGACCGTTGTTTGTTTTTGTTCTTATTTGTAGTTTTCTGCTGTACTAAACATAATAAAACATAGTTTGTCTCACTGCTTGAGTCTTTCCTTTTTTTGCTTTTTGTGTCGTCACTACTGCGTCAGGAAAGCGTTTCCGACCATACATTCCTGTGTGATTTCCCATCTTCTAGGTGTATTCTGTATCTCCTGAAAGTTTGTCAACGCTGTACTGATACACCCTGTATATTTTTTTTGACGGAACATATATGGGAAAAGGACGAATTTTTAAAATTCTAGATTTCAAGAACTCAAAAATAAAAATTACATGATGCAAACTCGCTCTTTCTCTCGATAACACTAGGAGCTTGATTTTTTACCCGGTTTAAATAACTCATATTTAATAATGCCGTTTTCTAACACTTTTGCACTTTCTTGTTTGTACAGATGCAGTTTGTACCGTGCAGATGGAAGTTGCCAAGCTTAAAATTACAATGCATACTTTAGTTTTGTTATGACTATGCCTTTTTGGGGGGAGACAGGAGGGATTTACTCATTTTTGCTTAGAAGATCTTCTGGAAAAATGTCAGGCAAAACCCTGAAAAGATTTTACTTTTATACTTTTAAGGTTTACGTTTATCAGTTACTAATAAACAATAGTTTTTATTGCAGACTTTTCCTCATCTTTACAACTTACATAAAAAAGATAAAGATGTTTTCACATAAGGATATAATCTTCAAAGTTAATGTATGTATTTTTATACAAACAATACATTTTTATACTCGACTCCCATTCAACCAGGGTTGGATTAACATTGATGCGGAATAACCGGTCCTTGTATTTAAAAAGAAAAAGTTCGGTTATCGCTGAGCAATAAAAAAATTACTATCACAACATATCAGAATGAAACAAAATTTTTATGGGAAATGCAAAAAGGAGAAAAAGGTGCATGGGATAGCAAGAGTGATAACAGATGATGTCACAGTATTTAGGAATTCTTTATACACACCAGTAGGTAAATTAATTGTTTATAATCTGAAATTTACGAACACTGCTAAATCACCCGTTAAAAATAAACTGCTAAATCATAAAATTGAATTAAGTTTACTGCCATTAATTTCTTACTTCAGATCGATTCTTATCGAAATGCAAGAATAACAGGAATAAAAACATCATTCTCTCTGTTTTGAATACTAATTTAACTTACATAACTAAATGAACTTCTTCTAAGTAATTTGTTAACAGTGTTTTTCCTTTGCTTATAACGTGGATTATTTCTCCTTCCTTTGTGTTTTCGCATGCATTCGAATTACTCGTGATTTGGGCTTAACCACATGCTTCGTCTGCAGTATTAGCCTGATTAATCAGGAATCTCCTGTAAAACTAAAGAGCACTCAGGATGAATATCTTCAAACTTTTTTCATGTTTAAGAACATGACACTTTTAAAGAAAAATGGAATTTTAGGTTCATTACCTTTAACATCTATTCTTTATCTATAAATGAACTCTATTTCTGTTTGTAGAAAGATTATAGATGTCTGTACATAGATGCATTACTAATTTCACATTTTCTTTTTTCAGGTATTCGGCTTTTAGTAGAACATATTATAAGTGTCTGAAACAAGCCACTTTTTGGGTAAGCATACATTTGTTGCTCCTTTTCATGTGATTTTACATGGGTTGGTGCAATGTATTTTTATGCATAAAATAATGCATTCTTCTATGTACTGCATTCGATCTCTGAGATTCTTCTTGCTTGTGTATTGATCTTGTGTATTACGTATCAGTTTTCGTCAGTAGTAACAACGTGGAGCACCAGATGTTCGCCTTTATGATCTTAACTTAATATGATGTGTCTTCTTCTCAAGCATTATGCAATCAAGTGGCACTGAATTTGTAGAACGATTAGGTATATTTTGGAGCAGGCAATAAGAGAAATCAACAGTATTTTACAACAGTCTCCGGGATTTGAACTCAGAAACTTCCAATCCGAGCCGAACCTGCTTCCATTTACACCACAAAGACACGCAGTAAGAGAGAAGAAAATTCCTTACAAACTTACCTACAAATTTCTGTACTACTAAATGGATTATTTGTAGTTTGCTTAAAGATTTCTAGGTAAATTTTAATTTTATCGAACTTTCATAAGCTTGAGCTTAATAAGTTGCCCAGTTGCTAGCGTAAAAACTCTTAAACATTCAACAGGTAATTTAGTTTTTGGAGAGTGTGGAGTTTGGATATAGCATTATGTGTTGTTTCCAGAGTCTCCACTACACTACCAAATTTTAAATACACCTTCTCCATTTCCACGTTTTTAGTGTTGTAATTTAATTTAAAACTGAATAGGAGAGAATTAATGCCATTTTTTTGAAGTATCTTTGTGGTGTAGTGGTTAGCGCATTTAGTTAGCAAACCAGAAAATCTGCACTTCAGCTCTAAACGGGCACATTTTGATTTTTCCCGTTTTCCCTGCGAAAAACAAAGTCCAAATGTTTCTGCAGCCACGCTTGAACTAAAATGAGTTTGACAATAACTTATCCACAACCTGTCTCAACACCTTCAGGTAAAGGAAATGTCAAGATTAAAAACCTTTATTTCATGTCTTTTTGAGCTGTAGCGGTTGGCATATCCAACTACAAAATTCGAAATTTCATGTTTCAGTTCTCTAAGACAGGACAACGATTTTTCCGTTTTTATGTTTCGAGAATACTAGCAATCTCTGAAGTAACTGCGGCCCACCAGCGATAAAGTCGATGAACACTGATGGTTCGGTCTGGGATTCCGATTCCGATGAACGGGCTGGCTGCATGGACATGCAGGGCATTTCGGGGTTTTCTGCATGCGAAACATGTATATGAGCAATATCTCTCAGAAAGTCCTCCACGAAGGCATTCTTTACCTTTAGCAGACAGCCCTAGTGGGCTTTACCATAACCAAATAAACAAAACCAGTCTTAGGTAATTGCTGTTTAGTGCTTTTATAACCCATATTCTTTCCTTTCCAGAAAATATTTGCATTCATGCGAATTTGTTTTACAACTATATACGGTTCAGAAACTATTATGCATTCCAGCAGACCTAAGAATAAAACTGAGTCTTCAGAAATAGAGCTTTATAGTGAGCTGAACAACAAATGTCTTGATAAAATTCTTGTCATTATAAGTAACTTCAAAAATTTCAATAAATAATATTTTTTGAAGGTTTTTTTAACTTAATTTTTTCGTAAACAAAAACTTTTAATATAGTTTAATTCACAATTTTTTTACTGCTTATTTATGAAGTATAGAAGGAAGGCAATTTTACTAAAATAGATAAATCATTAAATAATTTGAGAAAAATTATTTGACTCAAGTTTCTGGAATATAAAATTTTTGTTCTCTTATCCCACCTAATATAAGCTTTATATTATCAGAAATATATATCAGATGCTACATATAGCACACCAGTTAATAGGTGCCAAATTTCTGTTGCTATATTTTTCATGAAAAAATATACCGTAAAAATCAATAGAAATAGAAATATATGTCAGTTAACTTGAAATTGTTACTCAAAATTTGAATTTTCATTTCACAAAAGGTACTTATTTTTCAAAATAAGAAGTTCTAAAAAAAAGAAAAAAATAATAAGAAAAAAGTAAATGTTAGCTATCTTGCATTTACAGCTTGCATTTTATAAGCATGTTTGGCAAAGATATTAATATACGATTTACCGATATGCAGAACTATGCGTGCCTTTTAAAATGCTGTTCGCCAGAAATCCGGAAGTTATATTAAAGAAAACTGATGAGGATTTTCTGCGAAATTTGAATAAGAAACAACTTTAGTAGAATTATATAATCCTAGAATGTTAGCACCATCTGTTAAAAGGAATACAAAAGAATATCTCAGCTGAATCTTTCTTTTCTTTCAATCCAAATTGTGCCTTCAGATGTCTACTTGCAGAATAAATGTTTTCATTGTTTGAAAATTTTTCCTGTGCCAGCAAGTTAATACTAGGATATCCTTACTCTGATTCTTCGGTTTTCTTTTTATGCATTGCTTTCATTGCATTGTATTTTCTAGACGTAATTGCTACTTGTTGTAACCCTCGGGGAAGCACACGACCCTCATAACCTCTGTTTGGAAGTCAAACTATAGGTTATGAAATAACACGACTTTTCTTGAGTTCATCCGTCTTGTTATGAACTTTGAATAAACACTGTAAGTGCATTATTAGTTTTGTTACTGAATATTCGTTTAAATCCTGTTGTAATAAGAAAAGTATATGCTTCTCTACCATTTGAAATCTAAACACAGTAACTTTACACCAATTCAAAATAACAATCGAGATCCATTGCGCCATAACTTTTTGTAAGTGCTAAAATATTTATCGCTGTAAGTTATTTTTCGTGATAAAATACGGTAGATGACTGAACATTATTTTTCTCAGGAGATCGGAATGTATAATACTAGGTTAGCTTGAAATCGGGTATAAATATATAAAGCAAATATATAGTGGCCCGTTGGCGCAGTGGCTAGCGCATCACGCAGCAGCACCACAGTTCCAGGGTTCGATCCCCGGGCTGGATAAGGTCGACTCAGCCTTTCATCCCTTGATTTCCATCCCTTGGGTCGATAAAACGAATACGAAGTTCGCTTGGGAACTAAACACTGGGGGGTCCTGCGACCCAGTTGGCCACTTGTTCAGGGCATATGCTTACGCACCCCGGGGCCGTCGGTCAAGAAAGCAGATTTCGGGGCGCTGTCGGCCTTGGCCCACTAGGACTGTTGCGCCACTGAGCTTGTGAATTCTGAAATTTAAGTTATCAGATTGTGGAGTCAATCGGTTTTTTTTTTTTTTAAAGTAGCAAATGTAGAAAATGCGCAGTGGCCTCGGAGACTTGAACCTAGACCTCTCGGCTACATGTCGAATGTGCTAAAGTTACACCACGAAGGCATATGCTGGAAGGAGCGAGAGAAAACCTTATATACTCCGATTTTAAAATTAAAAGAAATACAAAACCACTCTCAAGCAAGCAGAGATGTCAATCGAATTATAAGTGGCCATGGAAGATTTCCCTATTATTTTAATAGGTTTGGGCTTCAAAAAAATTATAATGGTAACTTATGCAATGGGATTGGAGATGCTCGTCATTTTGTTGAAGAGTGTGTTATCACTAGAGATACAGAAGAAGAAGACAAAAACTTTAAAGCATTGAATTACAATGGCGTAATAATGAAAAGAATTACATATAAAATTATGGCAAGAATTGGTCAAACACTTGCCGTAATTTAGAAAAAAAATAGGCATAATATATAAGTTTGCATGTGGCTGCTAGTATTTTGAGTGCTTTTCTATTATTTTAGTTTAATTCCTAACGCTTTGCTTTATTCTCTTTCCCTCTGCTTACTTTTGTCGGTACGTGAAATAAAAAGAAACCAGAGGTCTATATACTAGAACCTACTGGTTGTATCTTATGATTTCGCTTTTGTTATGTTTTCTAATTATTTTTGTTTTATTTTGTTGGAGCTGTTGTTGTTTCTGACTTGCTGTGGCTCAGTCCACAGAAAGACCATAGAGCGACGTACTGACAAGGGAGTCGGGCACCTCACATCACCTTACACACCCTCTCTTTTAAACAGCGACTAAGGATTAAGGGATCCAAGCACCAAATCCTAGTGGAAACGAATTATCTTTCACCACCTTTTAGTTTGGGCGACACTGTAGAATCATTAGGTTATTTCGAAGCAGGAGACATGGAAAATGCGCATTGCCCTCGCCGGGATTCGAGCCTGAACCTTTCAAATACTCGCCGAGTGTGCTACCGTTATATCGCGAAGGCATGCTGGAAGGAGGGAGAAAATACCTTATAAAACTACCGATTTATAAGACCCAAACAAATTTTATACATGAGCTTACTTTCGAGGAAATACGGTATATTACTTATGATAGTCATGCACTTAAATTACCTCTTTAGCACATTTACTTCTCTCTCAACTAGAAGCACTTCTCCAGCAACATTTGTGCGTTCAAAATTGGCTAACTGTGTATTACCTGTAGTAAAATGAATCTTCCTTGATATTTAAAGGGGTTGAGGTAAACATCTAAGATTTTTCCACTCTTTGTTTCATAAATTAAAAGAAAAGTATTTTAATTATTATGATTAATAATAAAACGATCATACCTAAATAAATGCAAATTCTGAAGGAACTTAAATGCGAATAAACTCTTGATGAATTTAGAGAGCAGGAGGTTAATGAAATTTAAATTTTTTCTTATGGATTTTTCTTTCTTTTTAAAACATCAAGTTTTTTTTTAAACATAATTAAAGAGCATACTCTTCAAGACGCCTCCCAAAGCCAATCAACAAATGAATGCATCCCTGAAGCTTTCCAAAACCACAAATCAACCTAACAGAGTTCAAATAAAAAAAAGTAAATAGATAAAAAAGATGGTAAAAAGGGCCCCCCTCCAACCTAGAAACTTAATAACTTTAATTCCGTACCATTAAATTGGAATTCACAGCCGAGTACATTTTATTATAATTTTAAATAAAATAATTGAAGAGAAGTGAAATTTTGCAAAGAAAAATATTAAAACATGGGGAGAGTGCGGAGAGAGTAATAACAGCCAAAAATAAGGGACGAGTCCATAGCTG